TGAGTTTTGTAACAAAAAAAAAGAATAGAATGATAATTTTGTATAATAGTTGAATTCATAAGTCGATTAAAGTTAGACCATCATGAAAAACGTGGGAGCATTCGAAGGCTATTTCATCCTAGTATGAGACTCATCAGCGATTCGAATCCATGATTTCGTCCACGGGATTCGAACCTAAGACCTTCGGTCTTGTATGTGAACACTTAACTCCTAGACAATTGAGCCGAGTCCCAATTGTGTTATTGTTTAACTTCAATCAATCTATGAAATTGTGTCACCGTTTCTTACACTTTTTGGTATTGCGATAGGATACTAGTCTATTAATTTATAGAGTATTTGCTTTATAACGTTTAATTTATGCACAGTATCTAGCTTTCTTTTCATTCATGAATGCTGAATATTTTATTTCAGTTTCTAACTTTCATATAATTTGTGTTTTTTCCCCCATTAGACTAGTAAGAAGGAACTACAATGTCATGTTCACAATAGACATATGAATATGACTTTAGATGATTAAAATGTAGTCTTCAGTACATAATTACACTCTTATGTAGAGCATTGACCCAATAAATGAATGGGAACTGCATAAAAAATGCTAGATATTAAAATTTTGTTGAACATCGGGATTGGAAAGTTATCCTCGCTTTTCACAGACAACTTTATTAGCGGATGTATTTTGTTTACTATACACTAGTATAAGTATATAGTTAATCTAAGGTCTATGGTGTATCACAGCTTAAATAGATGTACATATGTACCATATTCTACTTTGCGTATGACTGACTGATGTTATATCCGGATGAGAATAAATGAATGGTAACCGTTAGGAATTACTCGTGGACTAATATTATACGGTTATTCATGTTATATGACCGTTAAGTAACTACATTAGATGTATGTTCACATGCCTTTCATTATAAGCTTTTATTTGAACTACGACTTAATATTGTGAAGTTATCCCCAATCTATTAGTTAGAGTCTCTCATACTCACAACCACTTTTGGCTTGATCTTGTATAATTGTTATTTTCTATTTTATAGTGTGATGTGGTTTGATTTGTTTTTATATAAACTCAGTATGTTTGAAATAAAGGATTTATATCGTGGAGGCCGAGATTAGCGTTCTGGACTTAACAGGCAGGGTTAGGAAAGAAAAGGAATAATTGAAACTCTAGGCTGCTTGTACAGATGTATTCGTCATTTGTTTGATCGTATAAGTCAGTGTATCTAAATTGGCAAACGTATTTTGTTGTAATCGCATAAGTTAAGGTCATAACAACTGATTGACTCAAACTTCCATATGTTAACGAGTAATTTTCTTGATCTTAATATATATTATATAATTAGCAGTGGGGCATAGTATGAGCGTTCTTTCCTATTCAAGACCCATAAGAAGGACGTGTTTACATCCCAGAGTAATTGGAAACCAGTACCATTTGTTTCATACTCCCTATGAGATATCCACTGAGTTACTGAGTCTAAGCATGAACTAATTTACTCAACGATTACAAATATCAATTCCAGTTCTGAATATCAACAATAGGAAATTGCAAACCATTATAATTATGCCAGAATGAAGTACTTTGTTATTTGTCATTAATATAACTTTAGTACGACAACTACAAACTTACTTGTTCTGCCAAATAGTTAAAAACAAGATATGAATGAAACAAATAGTACTGATATTACCTATAAATTTAGAGCAAACGTTTTACATAAAACATACAATTCAGAAATCCGTGTCCAAAAAGGTGAAGATTTATTGTCATCACAATGGCGTTATTCACTTAGCTACTGAGTTCAAATAGTCATTAACTAATGATATGGGGTGAAGTTTTAATTCATTTTTTTGTTTGTTTTGGTTGCCAATTAGAGACGTGATCAATTTCAGTCCTAAACATCAATGGGATGATTCAAATAACCAATACAATAAATGTTGTTATTGTCATCAATACAATCAATTGGTCTCATAAAGAAATGTGTATTTGATTGCTTTATAATTAAATTGTTTCAATTGAATTTGTTATGGTTTAGATTATACCGTTATTACAGTTTGATTGCGTTTTGATCGGTCTTATCTACAAAATTGACATCCTGTACAGATTGCCTCTATATAGTTATTATGATACAAGTTTATATGGAACAGATAGAATGTGGTTAGTAGTGGGATCTAGGATGAGCATTTCGTCCTTTTTGGAATCAGTCATCTGGATGTATCTGTGTTCCTGAGTTGATATTCAAGCATTAACGTTAACAAAATTAGAATACACATCTGTTACATAAGTGAGTAGTTATCTGAATGAATTGTCTGAGTGGATAGTTCATTGTAGTTTGAAGAGAAAGTTATTAGGTTCAAACCTCAGAGTGAATATTAACTCAAAGATAGAGATACATTTGACCTATGAGTCTCAAACAGGATAAACGCTCATTCTGAACTCATTTTCCAACTATGTTTCATCTTTATAAAGTAAATAAGTAGTAAGTTGTCTAGTTAAAAGAGTTTTATGGGGATTAATTGCTTTCAATAGCTTAAATGTTTTAGATTCAATTCTTAGTGAAGATCTAGTTACACACTACTAAAAATTCACATATTATGACTAAATAAGTGTTTGGCACCTTAATTAAGATCAATAATAGAACAAATATAACTTACGTTATAAACTATGCTCATTAAAATAAACATTGTCATAAGTTTATTATGTTTTTTTTTGTTAACAAGATATTTATTCTCCTTTTTTTCCTTTTTATTGTTGCTAAGCGAAATTCCGTAAACAGATATCTAAAAAAAACACATTTTGAATGATTTTAAAAAAACTTTAATTAACAGTAAAACGCTTCAGTGATTCACTCGGTGTTGTTGTTTACTTGAATCTTATCATTCATGTTTGGCACTGTCATTGACCAGTATCTTATTGATATATGTGCATATTGTGTGTATTGACTCGATATTGCTTTAATTCACAAGGATTATAGGGAAAGATGGATAGTGGCTGGGAGTGAAATGGAACACGTCAGCTGGATGTACCTGCATCTCAGAGTTGATGTTCATCCTGGAACTCAAACCCAGTACCGTTCGCTTAAAACACTATCACGTTATCTACTTAGCTACTGAGTCCTGATAGCCATTTGCTTGTGTGATGAATGAAGTTGAAATTCACTTGGTATTGTTTACTTTAATCTTCCCATTGATATTCAAGACTTCAATTGTCTATCAGAACTCAGTCGCTAAGTGGATAACGCGATGGTGTTTAAAATGAATGGTATTGGGTTCAAGTTCGGGAGTGAATATCTACTCTGAGATGCAGGTACATCCAGCTGATGAGTCCTAAATAGTGAGATACTCACATCTTCCATTCCACTGCTAACCGCTATCCATCTTTGCTTATAGCATTTCAATGATTGTTATCTACCTATACGTTTATGATTGTTCTTTTTTTGCTTTGTTTTGTTTACTAAAACAACTCCCACATAGTTTACAGTTCATCATTTTCATTAACACTATACACATATATGTACATTATTAATTTTTAAGAATTTAAGCATAACAACTACATGATCGATTGGTTCATTATTATTGATGAAATGATTAGCTTAGTTGAAACAATCATATAAAGGTACATAAAAAAGTACAAGTTTGAACTTGTCACATTTCTATAAAAATTGTCAGTTGAATTATTCAATAAAGAATAAAAAAAAGAAAACTTTCTAAACTTTCTATTGTATAGTTCATTAAAACAAATTCTTGTACAATGTTTTAATCAACTCATCAATGAAAATAAAAGTTGTAATAAGGTTTGAGTTTTCTTTTTCACGGGTTAGTTTCTACGGGATGAGGTCGCTAATCCCATATTCGACCCTTCTACTTTATCTGAGCTTGGAACCGGCAGTAGCCCTAGAGGGGCTCCAAGCATAGTTTGTAATAAGGTAATAAATGTAATTGAATTCTAAATAGATAAGATATTCTAAGTAAAGATGGATAACAGGCCAGCAATGGAATCTAGGATTCACGTTTTATCCTAATTAGGACTCGTCAGTTTAATGTATCTGCATTTTGCAGTTGATGTTTCCTTTTGGACTCGAACCTAGTACATTAATAAAAGAAATTGTTTAGTAAATTTATTAGGATTATAAAAGTGAACAAACAAATTGTCTGCTTACTGAATCAATCTTTAACTTCCAATGATATGATTTTCAACAAAGTAAGATCAATGATTAATTGATTCAAAAGAATCCGATGTTGATTTATGGGTGTTGGTTATCTACGAAATAGTACGAGTCATTTAGAACATTCTTCATACTAAGAAGAGCAAGACATTGCTTACTTAATTACGTCTGTTACTCCTCGCTAAGGAGCATAGGCCGCTCACCAGCATTCTCCATCCAATTCTGTCCTGGGCAATCCTTTCCAGCTCCTTCCAGTTGTTATTCATCCTTTTCATATCTGCTTCTATTATCCGACGTAATGTGTTCTTTGGCCTTCCACTTTTCCGCTTTCCTTCAACATTCCAAGTTAGGGCTTGCCTCGTGATGCAGTTTGACGGTTTGCGTAATGTATGTCCTATCCATTTCCATCGTCTTTTCCTAATTTCTTCTTCAGCTGGAAGCTGGTTTGTTCTCTTCCAGGGAACACTGTTGCTGATGGTATCCGGCCAATGAATGTTGAGTATCTTGCGTAGACATCTATTTATGAATACTTGTACCTTCTTGATGGTGCTTGTTGTAGTTCTCTAATTTTCAGCTCCATACAGTAGAACTACCTTGACGTTTCTATTGAAGATCCTCGCTTTGATGTTGGTTAACAGACAGTTGTTTTGAGTTCCATATGTTCGAAGAACAAGACATAGAAGCAAATAATAGCTTGATTCTATTATATATATAAACCGGTTTGGGGCCTTCGAAACTATTTGCCACTCAATACAATTTAAATTGCAGGCAATTCATTGAGTATTTATTATTTTTAATTTTATTTTAAAACAAAATTCTACTTTTTTTTAATCCCAGTAAAACCAACAATTGAACCAATTCCTAATCAAGTGTTAGAATATGGTCAATCATTAACAACTAACTGTATAGCGACTGGTATACCAACACCAACTATTATGTGGATAAGAGATGGGAAATCAATTAATCTAGCTGATAAAGGTTTAACAGTTGAAACATTTGAGTAAGTTGTATATTACATTTTGAGTTCGATTGATAAAACTATTTCATAATATACGTAATTAGAATAAAGTTAATGGCCAGCACTGAAAACATTATTGAAGTGATTAGTAAAACTATTTAAGTTTTGTATAAAGCACATTATGTATCTTACGTTTGTTATCCTTCATGGAGGAGCACGCAAAATAACTAAAGTAAAGTATTTAACTCATCTAAAAAGAAGAAACGAACCTACTTACTTTATTTTGCTTACGACTGTTACCCCTCATGGAAGGAGCATAGGTCGCTTACCAGTATTCTCCATTCAACTGTGTACTGGGCAATCCTTGCCAGTTCTTTCCAGTTGCTACTCATTCTTTTTATATATGCTTTCAATTCTCGATGCACTGTGTTCTATGAATTTCCTCTTTTTCGTTTCCCTTTATGATTCCAAGTTAGAGTTTACCTTTTGATGAAGTTTGATCATTTCCATAACGTACGTCCTGTCCGCTTCTAGTGTCTTTTTCCGATTTCCTATTCAATTGGAAGTTAGTTTGTTCTTTCCCACATTAGGTTGTCGCTGATGGTATTCGACCAACGGACATTGAGCACCTTGCGTGGACAATTGTTTAGAAATACTTGTACACTTTTGATGATGATTGTGATAGTTCTCCAAGTTTCATCTCCGTACAATGGAACCAACTGTCTTGACGTTGGAATTGAATATTCTAACTTAGATTTTGACTGAGAGTTATTTTAAGTTCCATATTTTCTTTAACTGTAGGAATGTTGACCTTACTTTTCCAATCCTTTACTTTACATTTGCATCAGATTCTCGTTGTTCATTGATGATTCTTCCCATGTAGCACATGCATAAGTGAAATGTTTCTGAAATGTGTACCATGTCAAAAGTGAAACTGATATCCAGATTTTTCCAGAAAATTGTCTCTTCATATGACTAACAGCTTGTTTAGTCGAATTCGATCTTGCTTTTATCATTACTGACCTTTGTCCTCTCATTGTCTAAATGCTTATTTTGATTATCTTCCATTAATACCTTATAATTGTTTATAGTTTCGTTAATTTGTTGACAAAAGTTAGATTGATTGAACTCAGTGTTAACATTTAAAAAATTCTCTAGTCCACTTTATATTCCCTTTATCTAGTATTACAATAGTTTCCCAGTCAACAATTATCTACACGGTTCTATATAGGTACGTCTTAGTGTGTTGATAACTAGTTGGTGTTCATGAAGACATACATAAATAGGGTGGCCATCTGTGTTACTATATGGCCTTTGATTATTGTATATTAGAACATAGAAACATTTCGATAATGTCCAGGGTTTCTCGTCGACTACCTGCAACCACCATCTAATCCCAATATATAGTGCACGCAGTGTCGAGTCACCCAGACTGGTGGCCACATTGCAACATGGTCAATAGCATTCGATCTGCACTAAATAAGGACTTGACACACATGACATTGATCACCACCCAGTGATCAATCAATTGTGATTACATCTCAATCCTGCAGGAGGTCGGTCGTGGCTCGGATAGCTCAGTGGTAACGTCTCAGAACTACATAATTCCGATAATCTTCGTCTTCTTATTACATTACCGAAATTTATCAAAGAGAATAATTGCTTTAAATTTCTTAAAAGAAGACTCCCTGCACATAGAAACATTTATTTAAAGGATGTTCAATATCTAAAACAAACGTGGTACAATCTTTTTTAAGCAAACATGGATAATGGCTAGCAGTGGAATGCAGGACATGCGTTTCGTCCTATTTGGAACTCGTCAGCTGGATGTATCTGCATTCCAGATTTGATATATGCCAATATAAGAGGCTGATCAATTACAGTCCTAATTAACAATGGGAAGATACAAGTAAAACAACATCAAATGAATTTAAACGTGATGCAAATTCAATTCATATGTAAATGACTACTAGATTCAGATCTCTTGGATCATGAAATGAAAGGCCAATTAAAAGGCAAATTTGCATAGATTGCCAAACTTATATCGACAAACATACAATTGATTTTAATAATTGAGATCATGAGTCATTTGAAGCTAAACCACTACGAAAAACCTGAAATCACTGGACGGTCGTTTCGTCCTATTTTGAAACTTCTCAGCAGTTCTCATCCACGATTCCGCCCCGCAGGATTCGAACCCAGGACCTATCAATCTTTACCAGTATTTCCAAGAATTTTACCATATAAATCGATAAAAATGAATAACTATGTTCATAAAATTCAACTTTTAATTTAATCACCACTAAATACAACTTCATCAATGCTGATCATAATCTAGGCGGATAAACGATTGTTTATACTCCTTCTCCCCTTTTTCAAAGTTATCGTTTATTCTAGATTAACTGAAATATGTCGATAGTATGTTTTTTTTCTTTGAGAAACCTACTTATGACTTGTAAGTAAGTAGTATATATATATATATATCAATCGTATATTTCATACACGTAATTGGAATATTTGTCTCCACTGTCAACTGATTACTTATTGTATTATCATCTATATCAACAATCAACTAGGTATGTTTTATGTTGAACTATAGAGTAACTTTGTTACCAATTAAAAATCTGTAATCTTTCACCCTTCCCTTTATCTATTTGTATTTAAGTAAGATAATACTGTTACTCAATTCTAACCTCTTCCTTTTGTTCTATATATCTCTATAGTATACATACATAAGAGATTAGTTTGTTTTAATTGTTGTTTTCTTTTTAATTGTTCAACACTATTCCAATATAAACCAATTAGAGTTGAATAGAGAGGAATTTTTCCCTTCTCAAAATACATAAAACATTCTATTTTATTCTCTGTATATATGTGTGTATGTGTGTGCGTATGTATGTCTCAGTGTATTAGCTTAAATATCAATCTAATAAGTAGTATATATCATTTTCCTATATGAAATATCCAGTTTACATAAATATATATATAAAGTCAAATTAATAAATTGTACCCTAGTAACTAACTTCAATTATTGTTTCAATCACGTTTTATTTTGATCGCTATTCAAAAACAAACAAACAAACGAAAAAAATCACAATAGACGTTCACCAGGATATGTGGAATCTATATTGGAAATAAACAATTTAATTCTAATTGATACCGGTGAATATTGGTGTTATGCTGAAAATGCATTAGGATTAGCCAAGGAGAAGTTTATTTTAAAAGGTAAGATTTAAAAAATAATAAAAAAAAGACTTATTTCATGGAACGATTATTGATTCATTATTATGTTCATTTCAACCATTAAGATTATGAGTTAATTGATGCTAGACCATTATGAAAAACTTGGAAGCATTGGACGACTGTTTCATTCTACTGTTAGGACTCTTAAGCACTGCGCATCCATTATCCTGCTCTGCGGACCATAAAAAACTCCTTCTGATATTAATTATATAGTGAGACTATAATTTATCGACGACCATTTGAGTGACACTGGAATAACCTTGACAGTGTCCACCTAATAACTAAAACTAAATGAGGGTTATAAACCTGTGTGTGAAATTAGAATTATAATTTACAGTTGATAGTTATGGTAAGGAATCAGATTTAGGGTTTTCATCATGAACTGACATCAGCTATAATATCAAAACTCCATTTATCCAAACGGTTGAATGAATTTCGCGCCAAAATCGGAGACCTGTTATCTTATACCTGATTGGTTCATCCATAAATTATAGTCTCACAAAATTTCTGGTTATCGTTTTTTAACGGGTTAGTTTTCTACGTGATGGGGTCGCTAACCCAATTCGTAACCCTCCTATTTTACCCGGGCTTGAGACCGGCAATAACTCTGGAAGAGCTACAGGCGGAGTTAGTCTCGCCTAATTATGTTATTGTAAATGATTGATAAAGTTCAGTGAATTTTATGGTTTACATCATGGATCAACTTTAAGGAAACTATTAAAAACAGGAAGCGCTGAACATCTGTTTTATACTGATATGAGACTCTAATGATGCATATTCATAACTTAGTGAGATTCTGTGTTCTGTTCTGATGAGATATATCATGCTTGGACGAAACCTTTTTTCAATGTTACTGGGTTTTAGTGATTTAACTTACAAATTATTTACATCGATTTTCAAAAATTCACATTATATTAACATACAAAGTTAGTCGAGTACATAGAACATTCATTTCAACAAATTTTCAATGGGATTTACAAAGTTACCACACTGAATAAATGATTAAATTAGAATAAATTTCGACTTTGGAAATTCTTTAATGTTTAAAAATCCTCCTTACTGATGACAGTCATGTGCTCACTGGTGACTAACTTCAAGATGTAACTCCTGGAGTTCTAGTGAATAGTCACGATCAATGAAGTCTAGTCTATGTAGAGTTGGAGACAACTATCGACCTCAGGCAAGACCAGCCCAGTGGTCTAAGGGTTAAAAGTTTACGCACGAGATTGAAGGTTCTGGGTTCGGTTCTAATGTGTAGAATTATGAATATGCGTTACTGGGAAGTCCCATACTAGGACGAAACGATCGTTTAGTGCTATCAACTTGACAATGGTGCTCTAGCTTAGATTAACTCGTGATTTCAACTGTGAAAATACTACAACCTCCATAAATCCCCACACTATTCATCTGGAATAACCAAGTAAAAGACATATATATTTGTCGGCACTATGATGAGAAGATAGAATACATATGAAAACGTGGTTTATTTGAGCTGAACATTTATCAAAAGATTTCTAATCTTGAACCTATTTTAAAGCTTCTGGTGATAAAGACAAAACCTTTTATAAGCAAAGATGAATAGTGGCTAGCAGTGGTATCCAGGCCGCTCGTTTCGTCTGTTATGACTTTATCAGCCGCTTGTTATCACGTAATCTATTCGCCAATCAAAATACGACTTATACAATCTTAGCACTGTGCCAAACCAATGACTTTTGACCGGTATAAGCAGCCTAGCGTCCTTATTGGTCCTATGTCCACCTAGCCCGTCCACTTCAGTCCAGAACACCAATACCAGCTTCCAATATGCGAATCGAATTGAATCATTTATTTCAGATATACTGGGTTTATATATCAATTAAACTGACTGAAACGCACCATTAAATACGAAATAACATTCATACACAATAAAGCCAAAAAGGTGGCTGTGAACGTGGGAGACGGTAGTCAATGAACTGAACATAGCTTAAGAACAGTAAATCGTGCAATTATAAATTATAGATCGAAATAAAGCTTATAATAAGAGGAATATAAATATACATAATCTAATTATTGAATAGTTTTACCATAAGAATAAATAGATAATATTAGCCAATTAATATGTCCCAGAAGTTACTCGTGATTTAATCTTCGCTCGGATATAACATCATCCTATTTGGGACTAGTCAGCTGGATGTACCTGCATCTCCGAGTTGATATTCATTCTGGGACTCGAACTCAGTACTGTTCGCTTCAAACGCTTGTAAATTAAGGCAACATCGAGGCAATGTGCATATATACTAATAAGAGACTGATCAATTACAGTTCTGAATATCAATGGGAAGATTAAAGTAAAAACAATATCAAGTGAATTTGAAACTTCTTATATTTTCAAATTAGATCATTTTACCTCTCTTTTCTTTCCAAAAATAAAACACCATTTCTACTTAACATACCAACCCATTCATAAATGAGAACTTGTAAAGGTCAATTCAATATTTTATTCATATATAAATGCTTTGATAAGTAATATGTATGACCAGATTTCTTAAAATGCCTTGGACCCATACACCATAATCCTAAAATTAATCTTTTCATCTCACTATACTACTTATGAAAGGTAATAGTTATTATCCTTAGAAATAGGAAATATGAATTTACGTTTATAAATCAAATAAATTGGTCAGTTTTCGTCACAATGACTAGTATATTATGTCTGCTTGTAAGTTAATTAAAGTTGTGAAACTACTTGTGTATGTGAAGCATTTTCTTCTTCATAGCCGTAGTATAACAGTAGCTCCTATGAATCTAGTCTTTGTCATCCGACCCGCATTCATTGTGTTTCACTGATTCCAAGTACATCCAGGTTGTATCTTTTCATTTCTGCAGCAATTTGGGTGACTCTCTCGGTCTCCCACATTGTACGAATATTCTTTGTATCTAAATTAATGGTTACTGTGGTTATCAGAATGGGCATCAGCCTTGTGACTTCCGAAGGAACTCGGCTTTCACTATGGGGCTTCATAACTATTCTAAATGAAAACGTTCTAACTCCTGGGGCAGAGTTTAAATGGTTTGAATTATTTCTTCTGGTTAGCGTTGTTTTTTAATGAGTTAGTTTTTACAGGATATGGTCACAAACCTTATGCCCAACCCTCCTCGTTTACTCGAGCTCGGAACCGGCAGTAGCTCCAGAGGGGCTCCAGGCGGATTTGAAACTACTAATCAGACTGAATATAAGGGGTATAGATTGGGAATAGTAGTGTCGTTATGATTATCTTATCTAAATCTGTAATCACATACTATATATATTCTGTCAAAGAATATCTCAAGTGGACTGTAGCAGGAGATGAGAACTTGCTCAATCTTAACGTAGTGTCTTGATAATGTAGCCGTGAAGATTTAACACATGATCTGAAAGTAATGAAATCATTCCCTAGCTGGTTCATGGTTAGCTAGGGAAACTAAAATATAACACTAAATAATGAAACAGAGATCGACTCATCAGAGTAATATCCATCTTTCAAGAAAAAATATACTTACTGACCTCTAGAAAAAAAGGAATAAACCTAAAACAACAGATAAGTGGATAACACGATGGCATTTGAAGCGAACAGCACTGAGTTCGAGTCTTAAAATGAACATCAACTTTAAGATTTAGGTACATCCATTTGACAAGTCCCAAATAGGATGAAACTCGCCTCCTGAATTCAACTACTTACCATTATCCATCTTCGTATAAAACATTTTCAAGGTTAAGTTATGTTTAGTTGAATGAAACTACAAAAGAAATCAATGAAACATCATTCTCAAAACCAACTACTCTACTCTCCTTTTTTTGATTTCTTATTTAAACTTAGTAACAAAAACAAGTAATAATGTATAGTAAAAATATAAATCTTTTTAACATTTATCAGTACCCCTTTCATTACCCCTTCTGACATAAGGATTTCTCATCACTGTTGATACAACTTAATCTAAATCGTATGTCTTTCTATGTTATAACAAAATCTTTATAATTTATACACAATATTATTAGTATTAGTATTGGTATTGTTTCTTTTAACTTAATCCTACAAAAGTAGATGGGATTAAAACAAAAAGGACTTATGTATTATGGAATCAGTCTTAGTGACTAGATGGTACATCGTTCATTCATATACATAAATATATATATATGTAATATCCATTTGTACATTTGAATCGGTCAGCGTTCTAAGGGACTACATATACATTTATCTTTTGGTAAACAGTCTTAACTGATGAAGAATTAGTTTTGTATGAATAAATTCATTATTAAAAAAAAGAAGCAAACCAAAGAAAGAAAGAAAGAAAGCAAAAACAAAACAAAGAACAATATCCCTTATTGATGCGTATTTCTCCACACACACACACACACAAAGAAAAAAAGAGAAAAGAAAAAAAGAGGAAAAAAACATTTTCCATGATCAAACCAAAATGAACAGAGATAAATATGAGAATAGTTTTATCTCTCTCTCTCTCTCTCTCTGTGATTAGTTTAAGAAAAAGAAAATTATAAAAGAAGAATATCAAAGAAAAAAAAGCAGAACAAGATATAGAAATAGAGAAATGATAAAAAGAAATAAAGAAAAGAAAAGTGTTTAAAATGTAAAGTTATTCGATAATAGAAAATCGAAAAAAAAAGAATGAATGAATGAATCTATTTTGTACGATAGGATGATGATATTCAAAGGTAACTCATTTATATTTCTGAAAAGCTTAACTATTCCAAATTTAATCCTTGATAAATTTATTGGTGAATACTAATGAGATATTTGCATAGATTAGAAAGAAACATTTATTCAAAGTACTATGGTTTATAATAGTTCTGTTGTTGTATGAACATATAAACATTGATACAAGGAGGTACCAGATAGATATGTGCAGCATAAATCATTCGATTTATGTGAAGGTTGGGATACTGCCCACACATCCAAACCTAAGCAGATGGTATTTTTAAGGCGCCACACCTGGAGCCTTCGACC